AAAATAAAAACTTGGCCCTATATTTTAAAGATTTGGCTCTGTGCATTTTAAGTTCATGTATTTTTTATTTCCAGTTATTAATGGCCATTTACCCATACAGTTGGCTCTTTTTGTATAAAGTTTATAATGATCATTAAAAATCCAATGATATTTTAGTTTGAATTCTGTCTGTTTAAAGTTATGTTTCAAACTGTAGTTTGAAATTTTTTGATTTAAAAACAAAATTTGTGTCATCTAGATTTTTTTTAAAAAAACCTCACTAAAATATTCATATAACTTCTGGCTTTACTAAACCTTAAAATATCCAGTATTGCTAAACTCCATATGAATGACAGCAGTTATACATCCTATCACAGAACCTAATGAAATAAGTACAATATACAGATACAAATCAGTTAATTTCCACTTGAAACAAAGCATTTAACTCCTTTTGGTAAACACATTTATTGTTTTGGTTTTGGTTTCATTTTCAGAGATTCTGTAAAAGTTCTTAGTCATTTGGAAGTTTTAAGCATAAAAGTACTAAATAAGTACTTGGGAATTTTTTAGGTGTTGCTTTTCAGCTCCTTTTTACCAGTTCTTCTGGGAAGCAAACAGTGCTGCGTCTCCTTTGCTCTTGCGGAATTTTGTAATTTCTGTACCCCAGGTCTCTGCTAAAGGGAGGCAGGTGTTTAGAAATTCTAAAAATGAAGGCTCTAAACTTTCTAACTGTCCTGATAGGTTTTCCCTTTTTTAATTCCAACCCACTGGCCAAATCTGTCCTTAGAGATCATTTATATCTTTTATTGAACCCTAGGGAATAAGTAATTCTGTTAGAAGCTTTTATATGCTAAAAGCCTTATGCATATGTTGGTTATCTTCAGGCTCTGATGCAGCTGAGCATGCATCTCAGTTCTCACGTTCATGTTCATTTGCGTCTTAATGACACACAAACTATTTTTGACCATGACCTGTATTGTCACACAGTGTGTTTCTTGCTGTTGACTTACAGTAGACTCGCTGAGGACTGTGATTCTGTGCTTTAAAAGAAGCCAAAAACTTTTCAAAATGAGGGAGAAATGTCCGTAATAAATGTATTGTATATATACATATGTTTATAATAAATTTTCTTTTTACAGCTCATAGCAAGTTAAATGTTCTCAGTGAGTTCACTGTTCCCTAGTATTTTGGTTATATTTTCTGGCTACTAAGATTTCAGCTTGTGGATTTTTGCTTTAGGTCAGCAAAATAGCATTCACTAAATTACCCACTATTATAATGTCCTCACTGAGAAGAACTAACCCATGGAAAATTAAGGTAAGACAAAAGTCAACAAATTTCTATCTTTGGTCAGATATGTAAAATCATTACATTTATTCCATACATTGAATAAATATCATAAATTTCAGATTCTTTATTACTCCAGGAACTTAACTAGTCCAATTTTTATTATAAGATAGGAACGTGTTACTCTCATTTACGTTTCAGTTAAAAAAAAAAAAAAAAAGTCTTTTCAGTGAGGTTTCCTGTTAGGGTTAGCTTTTGCAGGTGATCACAGAGGTTTTTCTAGCCAGGAGAATTCACAGTGGAGCTTTGCAAAACAGAGTAGGGAACTGGAGCCACCAAGGCAGGGAGGTCAGCGCCTCGGGCCGTGTCACCTTTGATGCATCCTGTCTTGTGTACCCTGCGTACCCTGTGTGTCCTGTGCAGTGAAATGAAATACTAACTTTGCACTCGTGTGTCGTAGGTTTGTGTGCAGTAACAAGTGTCTTCCAAATTTGAGGGCAGTATGTAGAGAATTCATGTGACATATTTGTGACTAGCAGATAAACCTAAAAACAAAGGAAATTTTAAACATCTTTTAGATCAAGCTTGTCCAACCCACGGCTCATGGACTATGTATGCCCCAGGATGGCTTTGAATGTGGCCCAATACAAATCCGTAAGCTTTCTTAAAATGTAATGAGATTTTTTTGTGATTTTTTGTTTTTGTTTTTGTTTTTAGTGCATCAGCTATTGTTAGTGTTCAGTGATTTTATGTGTGGCCCAAGACAATTCTTCTTCCAGTGTGACCCAGGGAAGCCACACTGGAATTGGCCACATGGGATTGGACACCCTGGTTTAGATTACGGACATGCTAAATTGTCAGTTTTTTAAATCATTCAGGTATCAGTGAAAAGATATCCTAGATATAAAGACCCTATTTTATTAGAAAGTTGGGAAAGAAGAAACAAATATATAGTAAGTTATTTCCAGGCACTATGTGCTTTGTGTCATTTGATTCCTATGCTAACCCTATTACACAAGTGCAGTATTAACTAATTTCCCATTATATAAATAAGCAAACTGAGGTTTGTGCAGGTTAAGCAACTGGCCCACAACATCGCAGCCCGTATTAGAATGTTAAACATGTCAATACATTTTTTAAAAGAAAAATCTTGCTCTGGATTGATCAGCGATGAGTTTTTTCTAGATCCATAAGCCATACTTGAGAACATGCCTAGCAAATAACAATGTTTGTATATAACACACTGTGTGACAGGCACCGTTTTAGGCCTTTTTACATGTGTGAACTCATATAATCCTCACAACCCTATGTTTGTGAATCCCCCTTAAGGATGGAAAACCAAGTCACAGAGAGGTTAGGTAACTTGCGCAGAGTCACACAGCTAATAATTGGAGTTGCGGAGCTACAACCCAGGCAGCCTGGATCCAGTCTGTCTCCTTCGTGGAAACCTGGGCCATGCTGAATCTACCTGGGGTTGGGCATCACCACACAGGACAGTAAAGGGCTCATTTTATCAGAACTGGAAGCAGGACAGCCAGGCTGCAGGGGACACGGCGTCCTTCTTCTGATGCCTGTGGCTGTGTTTGTGCCTTTACACATCACAGTAGTGGAGATGAATGCCACTTGGAATCCAACCCACCGCAGCAGATGACCTCATGCGAGAGAGAAAGCAGCCCTGCCTGTGCTGGCCTAGCCCTGCCTTGGGCTGTATTTACTCGTGGGGCCACAGCTGGCCAGGGCCTCGGAGCAGCTCTTGGAGCAGTCCCAGCTCAGGGCTGGACACACAGAGGAGGACAGGGTGGGGAAGAGTAGTTCTCTTCCTTACCCTCGGCTCCCCAGTGTCCCCACCCAGCAAGTACCGAGGGTCATACAGCAATCGCCCCACCTCACTTAGAGGCTCTGATCTCCACAAGACTGGCCAGAGCTGAATTCAGAGCAAATAAAGGCTCAGCCTGCCACCGCTTGAGAAAGGCTGCTGACCGCTGGCTGGAAGCCAGCCTCAGGGAGTCCACAACCAAGAAGCGTTTCTGAGCTGCCTTTAGTTAGCCCTAGGGGTTTCCTCCGCCTTCTGGCTGTTTCTGCACTGAGCTAGAAAAGATATCAAAGACACTCGTTAAAGAACCAGACCCAGTTACAAACTTTAAGTGCAAATAATCCGGTGTTTAAAAGCAAAGGGTACAATCTGTTGCTACATTAAGCTGTTGCTGCCCGCAGTTAATTTGCTGCTCTGTAGACGTCATCTTGGTAGGCAGTTTTACACCAAGAGTTTATTAAGTTCACTAAATCATAGTATAATAGTTTTCCACGTTTAAAAAAAGATGTTTCTAACATAAGCACGCTCATTATCAGAGGGATATATTGAAATTTATTTTTAAAAGCTAAGCAATAAGATTTTCTTGATAGTGAATCATTGTCAGGTGACTTAAGCTTTGTTATCTTTTTTTTTTTGTTCCCCCCCCCCCCCCCGAGATAGGGTCTTATTACGTCACCCAGGCTGGAGTGCAGTAGTGCAGTCATGGCTCTCTGCAACCTTGACTTCCCAGGCTCAGGCGATCCTCCTAACTCAGCCTCCCAAGTAGCTGAGATGACAGGCATACAGCATGCCTGTCTTACATGTTTTATTATTTTTTTGTAGAGATGGAGTCTCACTTTGTTAGCCAGACTGGTCTGAAACTTCTGGGCTCCAGTAATCCTCTTGTGTCGGACTCCCAACGTGCCAAGATTGCAGGTGTGAGCCACCACGCCCAGCCTATCTTGTTCTTAGTAGAAAAAAGAACAGTTTTGTTTTCAAAAAAAAAAAAAAGAGTCTCTCAACCTGTAATACCCATTTTAAATCTGTGTGCTTTATTAAACGCTCAACGAGGATGATGATGGTGGTGGTGATTACAAGCACCACTCACTATTTGAATCTGTCGCATGGTTTCTGGTTAAGTTCCCAGCACATCTCTGCCTTAGCAGAATGATTAAGCTTCCCATCTCAGCTCATCACTCACCAAATGTTGGGACTTTAAATTACATAATCTGTTTCCTTGAATGTAAAACGTGGATAAGAGTGATAGTTAAGGTTGTTGCAAAGACTAAAGGTAGATGATAGACGCGAATGAGATGACTCCTGCAAAGCACTGAGCAGGGTATCTAAGGCTGCTGCGGGTGGTCGCGACAGTATTTTCCCCCTTCTGCATCTATGGATACAGGCTGGAGATGTCCAGGAACCTGGCCCCTGGTCCCTGGCAAGTAAGGGGTGGAACCAGGTTTGCAACCTCAGGATTCATGACTCCAAAACCGTCATGCCCTGCACGCTGTCTTGCGGTAAGCGTTTGTGAGGTGGATATCTGTAGACCAGTGTTAGATTCCGTGCTTACAGCTGCCCTGCCAGGACCCGCCTTCTCCTCTTGATCCTTTCAATAAGCCCTTAAGTCTTTTAACCAATCTGGGTGCCCTTTTTTGAACTTGATCCAATCTAAATACGTCCCTAGTGCCTGTGAAATTCACAAGTCAGCTTAGTCATAGAGTACAGGGTGTCCAGCGTTTTATGAGGTAGGATTATACTTTCCCTGTCACATGAGGTAATTCTGCTGGGGTGAACCTGAAGTGGCATTCATCTTCATTAATGTGACTTGTGTTACAAACACACATCCAGCGTGTAATTTACGGCCTTGTCTGGGATCTGTCATCTCTGCCTTCAGGTTTCTCACATTTATACAAAACCCGAAAAAACACCCTCTCCCCTTTTCTTACATGTATAAAATTAGTTGTGGAATTGAAGCAGATGTCTTAATTCTTAACACCCACACACCTCCCATCGCCAACACATAATGACACAAATGCCCAACGTGTCTGCCTGGAAAATTATGATCCTTCTTGGTCTCTCCTGTTTTTGTGTGTAGGTCTGGCTTCAACCCTTTTTCTAGCATGCTTCCAATTTTCTATTTTGGCCAGTGTTTATCTTCTCACTGCCCTCTCAGTGAGTTTTTTGACTTCAGAACCTTGAGTTTCATTCTTGGTGAAATTTCATTATGTTTACCATTCTAATAGGAGAGAAACCTTATAATCTAGTGTGATGATCTCAAACACTTAACATTAGTGTGGTGCCTTCATATTCAAGGTGTGTGGGAGTTGGGGGGGATGTATGTATTATATTATTTTAAAATAATTATTGACAGGTTTAGGGGGTTAGTCTAGCAGGCCCATCCTACAATTTTGTGAAGAATGGCATTGCATTTTCCTTTCTTAAAGATTCAATAACTCAGCATAAAAGTGTTTGAAATTTTATCAGTCTCCCCCAGAATCTTAGTATTTATCTTTACATCTTACATATACATCCTGCTTTATCTTCTACCTACTTGCTTTCGTATAATTCTCCCGTATGAGATTACAGACGCCTTTACAGTAGAAATTGTGAACTGTTCATATTTGCATCTCTGTACTTGACTCACTACCTGCCTGTTGAGTTGAAGCTTGACATCTGAGCTTTGCTGTACCTGCTTTGTAAGGATAATTCTATTTGGCTTATAAAGATTGTGGTTTTGTCTAATTTGAAGTTGCAAAACTGTTCAGATTTTTTCAAAGTTAGTAGCCAAAGGGACAAATTTAGAAATGCATAATTTATGTACATATGTGTGGGTGTACATAGATGTGACTATATTTACATGTATGTCCATACTTTATAGATAAGAGGGGAAGCGAGCAGTTCGAGCATGTGAGAGATTCAGGAGATGGACCCAGGGAGTTTTCCTGTATTGCTCCGAGTAAGGAGGGAAGATGAACAGCGTGGGAGCCAGGAAGGACAGCATGTGGTTTCCTTGGCCTAATTTGTTTTCATTTGGTTCACACTTAGGGAAAAGAGGACCATTCCAGGTTCATCAGCATACAGAGAAGGGCAGTATGTGACATTGGATTTCTTTCCACTTAAGTAAATAAGCCATGGTTAGCTGAAAGAGATGGGAGATTTATTTTGGGCTTGTACTGAATGCAGGTTGCACCAAGTTTACACTGTTTTGAAACTATATGCCTATATTATCCTGTTTGCTGCAGTGTGTTCTGCTCATAACCCATTTTTGATAGTCGCCCATTGCTTTGTGTTGGTTGGTGTAAGTGTGGTTTACTTGCTCACCCTGTTGCTCAGTTGTAAAAGGTAGACCTCTCATTTTAATACGCTTATGTTAAAACAGGCCTTTTTTGTTTGGAATTGTCCAAATGAGAAGTTCCTTCTTGGCTGAGTGGTGAACAGGAAAGCCTGGAAGGGCAGATGACTAACCTCGGGCTGCATGTTCTCCATGGTACAGAAAGTAGATATGATTATGGATGGGGCATTTGCAAGACAAGATAACATGTTATTTGTAATGTGAGCCCAGCAACAGCTACCCAAAAGTGGGAGGAAGGATGGAGTTGGATTGTACCAGTAAGAAAATTGAGGGTTCCTGAGAAAATAGTCCAAGAATACAAATTCCATACTCAGAAGACTTCTTGTAAGAAAGGGAATCTAAGAAAGCAGTCAAGTTCATTCCTCTGAAAAATGTGAAATGTGTTACAAAAAGCCTTATAACGTGGAGTCCATCTGACCCCCACCTCACTGCTACTGGGAATGCTTCCAGAGGTTGCAGCTCAATGGTGCCCCCCGGTGGTATTCAGGCCTTCCATTTTATTGTTTGGGTAAGACCCCTGCGGAGGTGATGGGGGGGCAAACTTCAGTGTCCAGGGTTGGAAGCTGTATGTGGTTTTTTATATTTTACTCTAGCCTAGTCATTCTTCTTCTTATTTGTTTTAGGCCAAAGAACTGCCAACTCTGAAAGATAATGATTTCATTAATGAGGGCCAAAAGATTTATATTGATGACAACAACAAGAAAGTCTTCCTGGAAAAACTGAAAAAGGATGTTGAGGTAAGAACAGTCAGTGTAGAGGCCATCCCCATTGTGTGTCAGCCCTGTTAGTTTTTAGGAGCTTTTAAAACCATCTATTTAAATCTGCAACCAAGGTGAAAACATGTATACTCTACATTATCACAGTCAGATGTGAAGGTGTCACATGTGACAGGGTTTAAAGCAAAACCATGCCAGTTTAGCATTCTTCTCATTTAGGCGCCAAACACAAGAAAGCACCTGCTGTCATGTGCTGGGAATCCCCGGTCCCAGGCTCCTGTGTTTTGAATTGGGATGGCCCATGGAGGCTGATCTGCCCACACCAACCACTTTGGGAGGGGCCAGGGGAGTACTGGACTCTGTCCACCAGCAGAGCATTGTAAAAACAAATGTTCAGTCACTATCAGAGTCTTGGCACTTTTCCCGCTAAAGCACATGTCAGTGCTGGGTCGCTGAATGCTTTCCTATCTCCACCAGTCATCACAGACCATGTCATGAGGCCCCCTTACACATCATGGGACTAGAACAGGGGCAGCTGAGGACCCTAGGTCATGGGGGGACAGTGGAGAGAAATAAAATGGCATCCAAGGGGCTTTAGTCCATAATGGAGTTTTGCTTTTAAACACTGTTGTAAACATTTAAAGTGTACCTTTTTCTGTCATTTAGTTTATGATAAAGGCATTGCAGCTTTTCCATTGGATTTGCTCTTTTAAGTCTTTTGTAAATAAATCCAGGAGAAAAGCTTAATGTTGAGTTACAAGACAGTGCAGTGGGAATTAGAATTTAGCAGCCCCTAAGTTTTTCTTAGCTGTTACTTTCATTCATTCGTGTACACTTTTCTAAAAAACTTTGAAACACTTATCAGCACACCACTATAGATCTGCTACTTGGAGGTTTTGTGGGAAGATTTTTTTCATGTCATTAAACAAAAAACAAAATGACTAAAGCCAAAGAATGTCATACATTTGTGTTTCCCATAAAAGCAGAAAAAGTGTAATTTCTTGACAGCTCTTTTTATTGTAAGAAACTCTGACCAAGTTATAAATAGTTCCTATTTTTAGGTCATAAATTATTTTAGTAACTTTTTTATCCTTTATGATGTACATACTTGGGTTAGAACCTGTGTGTTATCTGTGTCGGGTATAGGCGTCTACTTTTTTGTTGCCATTGTTGATTTTGGAGACAAGGTCTTGCTCTGTTGGCCAGGCTTGAGTGCAGTGGCATCAGCACAGCTCAGTGCAACCTTGAACTCCCAGCTCAAGCAGTCCTACTGCCTCAGGCTCCATAGTAGCGTGGGCTACAGGCTTGCATCCTGGTGCCTGGCTGTTTTTTGAAGTTTTTTTTTTTGTAGAGACAGTCTTGCTATGTTGTGCAGGCTGGTCTTGAACTCCTGGCCTCGAGCAGTCCTCCTACCTCAGCCTCCAAAAGTTCTGGGATTAAAGGCATGAGCCACTGTGCTGGGCCTATAAGCATCTACTTCAAACAAAAAGAAGAATTTGCTTTTCTCATGTAACATTTTCCTCCAGTCTTTCATTAAGAAATGGTTTTCATCAGCTGTCAGTGGTTATTAATAAAATGTATTAGTCAAGCGTTTTCCCCTTGCTTTGGGATCTATTTGATCTGATTATTAAGTACTCTCAGTAAACATACTCGTTTGAATTTGTATTGTTTAATCAGCAAATCTTTGATACAGAGAGTATTGTTTTAGCAATTTTGGTAAGTAGCCCTTAGGGTTATTTGTGACCTACCAAAAAAAAATTGTTTCTGTTGGCAGTATATCACTTTAATATTTAGACTCCAGAAATAATGTAACGGGAGCAGTTCAAATTGACAGTTTAATTACAGAAGGATCCTCTTAGCTCTTTTGTCTCTAATAATACCAATTGATTAGAGGACTTGATAGTCTAATTCCCATACATGGCTCAAGCACTTAAATGGGCGCAGGGTATAAAACATTCTTTAATTTAAAAATATTCTCAATAGCTGGTAACGGTGTCTGTGGTTTTGAAATTCATGCAGAAGCATCATTAAATTTTTAAGCAGGTAATTATGGTGAAGTAGCTTGACATCTGATCTTGATAATGAGGCTAGAATTTACTGGAGTTTTATTTTTTCATCAGTTCTATGCTTTCTAATTTAGCTGACTGACCCACTGGTGTTTCAGTACAGTTGTTTCTGTTGTTGTGGCTGTCTTTCCTTAATCCCTCAAGTAGGAGATCTGAGTGTATTACAGCTCAAGAAATCTACATGTGAAGAAAAACAATGTTCATCCCAGATTCTAGTTGATTTTCTATAATTGAAGCCCTGTTCTATTCCTGTGCCGTGCGGGACACTTTCATCCCCATAGCTTTGCACATAACTAAACACAGGTGAGTCTTCCTGCATGCACACACAAAGTAGTGGATGAGGAGTGACAAGCACTTTTTCCTTCTGCCCTGTTTGTTGCCAGCTCTGATAGTGACCCTGGAGAATCAGGGTCTCTCCTCATTGACTCACACGATGCAGAATTACGTTCTCCCTCTGTGGCATCCCACCACAGGGCGTTTCAGCTGGCTGAGGTTTATAGCCCCCCATCCATGGAAATGGGTGAAAGGGCAGTAGCAGTACAGGGATGGGCAGCAGCCAGCATTTGCGGAGCACGTGGAGCCCAAGTCCTTCCCATGCAGTCATTGCCGCTTGTCATTCTCCACCCCTTGCGAGTGGTCCTGTCACTACCCTAGTTTGATGAATGAGGAAGCCAAGCCCAAGGACACTATGTAATTTGCTCGAAGGCACAAAGCTTCTAAATTCAGACTGGGGCATCAGGCCCTCAGAGGGCACAATCCTTAACTACTCCAACATAAACAAAGGTTAAAAATGCTTTTGAGAGCACAGTGTAGGCTTTGTTATCTGATAATTGCTCCAAGGGGGGGATTATTATAATTTTTAACAAGTGGTAAGGTACAACTGTTAAACAGTTGACTGGCATGTTAGTTCTACTTCACAGGTATGTTAGAATATGTTGATTTGGCAGGACACAGTGTGTTAGTGTAAAAAAATCAATTTAAAACCATTGTGAAGGATAGTCTTAGACTCGGAAAGATCTTGAGGAAGATCCCGGCTCACAGATTTGTCACAGTGAGGAATCAGTAAGGAATTAGATGAGACGGGCTATTCTGGCCAGAAAAGAGGCAGATCCAAGGTCTCGCAGGTAATTTCTGAGAAGTTGGAAAGGAAAAATCTTCACATTTCAGAATCTTATGTTCTTAAAGAATGAATATATACTGTGGTCCTGCAGTGAGCCAGAAGCAGACCCCACTGTGGAGCCCACATCCCCTTTCTGTGTTCTCTCTTCACCCTTGACTGTCTGGCCCACGGGAGTTTTCCCTAAGGAAAATCTCGGATTTATTGCCATACTTCGTTCACTCTACCTCGGAACAGCTTTAAAATAAAGTTTGAGGCTGGGCGATCGCTTGATACCAGCCTGAGCAACATAGTGAGACCCTCATTCGGTAGAAAATTTTAAAACTCAGCCAGACACAGTGGTACTTGCCTGTGGTCCCAGCTACTAGGAAAGCTGAAGCAGGAGGATCCCTCACGTCCCAGTGTTTTAGGCTTCAGTGGGCCATGATCACACCGCTGCACTCCAGCCGGGGTGACAGAGCCAGATCCTGTCTCAAAAATCAAGAAATGTAATTAAGGTTGTGAAAATAAGAGCTCGTGAATTGACGGGCTTTTCCCCACTGGTCCACAAACTGGAACCTGTTTAAATTTGAAACTTGATATTAGAAAAAAGACGTCTACCATAATCAAAACAACATTGACAGTTACAAAGAACAGCTTCCATTATTTTGTGCAAGGCACTACATTTTTGGTCTCAGATTCATTGTCTTAATCCTTCCACCCCGCTGTGAGGGAAGTGGCATTGTCTCCTTTTCAAGTCAGAAGGATTGAGGATCCCAGAGGCAAACTCATCAAGCATGGAGCTAGTGAGCCCAAACAAGACTAACTCGCCCCTCTCCAGAGCTGATACTCTGTTTCTTAAGGGGGCTCCCTTGTCAACCTAGCCTGTCCTTTTAGCCACTCTGCTGTACTTGGTTTTTTCCACTTCTACCTCAGTCTCAGAGATTTGAAAACATGAATAATCCCAGCACTTTTGGGAGGCCAAGGCAGGAGAATCACTTGAGCCTAGGAGTTCAAGGCCACAGGGATTTGTGATTACACCACTGTATTCCACCCTGGGCAACAGGGCAAGACCCCATCTCAGAAACAAAATGTGTAATACCCATTGAGACTGCAATTCCTCAGTCTTCTTGGGTGCTTCAGAACAGCTTCTTACCTAGAGATGCATTTTTCATTGCACCGATGGTTCTGTGGGTTGTGCTGGGAGCTGACTGCACCTTTATTTCTTCCTCACTGCAAGACAAGAGTAAGCGGTCTGACAACAGGCCTGAGACCCAGGAAAATTTCTCTGGGCTGCCCGGCCTGGTGAGCATCTCAGATGGGGTGCCAGGGGAGACTGAGGCCTGGAGGCTTACCCTGGTGAGTGCGGCGGGCCAGTCCCGGTTTTCCTGTTGCCTCTCTGTCCTTTGGCAAATTAATCACAGACAGCCCGGACTTCTGTAAATAAAGCACACTTGAAAGTGCATTTGAAGGTCAACCAGTAGACCTGCTTTCCCTGTTCAGGGAAGAGCCTTTTAAATGGTCGCCTTGGGCTTCCTTCCCAAAGGTGTTGCCTCTTGCAGTCTCAGACAGAGGTTTTCTGTTGTTGCTTTTGTTCTTGCTTATTTGGCTTTGGTTTTATGTCCTGGTGGAAGCAGGTCGGGGAGAATTAGGGACAGTTGGGGGGATGGGTAGGGAAACTGCAGCAGGCATCCCATTCACTTGTCCAACAAGTGCCGAGTACTTTCCTGAGCCCTTTGTCTGCTGGGAGTCAGGAATGCAGTGGAAGCCAAAACCAGAGACTTCTTGTCGAGCTGCCCTGCTTGAGAGAGAAGTTGATCAAATGCTCCAACGAAATGAACGTGCAGCGAGGCCGTGTGTCATCGGGGAGGAGCATGTGGTGCCCGAAGTACCGAGACTCCAGGGCTGTGCTGCGTCGCGTGGTGTCCTGCAGCTGAGCCCGGAAGGCGCAGGAGGAAGTACCTGCCGGCAGGGGAGAAGTCCAGAAGGGGGCTGGAGCAGGGTTCAAGTGGGCTCCAGATGGGGATGGGGCCTAGCTATCTGGGCCTTGAGAGTTTTGTTTGTGCCCCGTGGGAAACGTGGCACCACAGGAATGTCTTAAGCAGGACAGGATGTGATCAGGTTCACATACTGAAAACTGCTGCCCTTTGCAGAGGACTGGACGGGAGGTTTAGTCACCACTCAGCCTTTACCACTTCACAGGGACCTTCCAAGCACCCAGAGGGAGCAGGGATGGGCAGGAGGGGCACTTTTCCTTGTGACCGCTCCAGCTTAGCAGGGCCAAGCCTGACTCCGTCCCTACCCACCCTCTACCCACACTGGGAGCAGATGCTGCCATCTGGAGCCTGCTGCTTCCAGCAGTGCCCTCCCCCTGACCCCTAGAGAGGCTTCCAGGAGTGAGGCGGGAAGCCCTAGATACAGGGAGCAGAGCCAGGCACCAGGCTAGGCTTGTGAGGGACAGCGGAGGTGGCAAAGGAGACCCTGGCCCAGTCCTCCAGGAGCCCAAAGGCCCTGGAACAGGTCCAGGAGAAGTGGGGCTCCCATGAGCACCTCCCCGTCATACCCCTCAAGAGTTGGAAAGCACAACTGGGAACTTGTAATGCAATATTTTCCACATGGGCTTCCAAAACCCCAGGCCCACAGGGCATTCTGACAGGGAAACAGGTTTCATGATCACAGCGGTGCAAGGCATGCTGCTGGCCACCCAACCCTCTGGAGACCCACAGCGCTGCGTCACAGGTGGAGGGCCTACTCCGATGCCGGCTGATTTTAACTCGTTACCTGCCTGCTCAGGTTGCAAAGAAAAGGATGGAGGAAAGCTGCTTTAAGGCAGCCTCTAGAGGTAGCGGATACAGAGCAGGGAGCGCAGGCTCAGAACAGGCCCTGCCTTCAGACCCTCCTTGGATTTGAATCCTTGGGCTCTTGTCCAGCTGTTGAGCCTGGCTGCTATCTCCCACATGCCGTGGATCTTGTCACCTGTTTCTGTACCCCGGAGTGCCCAGTTCTCTTCCACATGCACAGGCCCATGTGTGCAGAGCTAGTGCCCAAGACCCAGCTACCTGGCTGGCTTCACCATGCTGGTGAAGGTCTCAAGTGAGCCTCATATTACGGAGTTCTCCCCCACAGCCACCCCCCCCTAAACACGATTCTGACAGGTGATCCTGGCCAGGTGTGCCCCGGAGCCTGACAGCTGCCTAGATGCTAGGGGAGGATGTGCAGTCTCTGACTGCTGGAAAGGAAGTCTGGCAGAGGGAGGTGCAGGTGAAAAGTCAGTTCCTGTGTTTGATGTAATGGGGGAATTTGGGGAAAGGCCAGGGCAATGAGCAGTGGCTTCCTCTCCTCTCTGGGGTCCAGAACTGAACACAGGAGCCCCTTGCTGTTTCCACGAGGGGTTTGCCTCAGTCTGTTTTTAAACAAACAGGTTTTCCTACTTTGCTTAAGTACCTGAATGCAAGATTTGTGTGATTTTTCTTTTCTGAGCTTGAATCAAATGGAGAATGTATACCTGGCCCCGGGGGATTCCTGGTGGGAAGGCAGCCAAGTGGGAGCTCTGGCAGGTTTGCTGGGCGGAGCAGGGTGCCAGCTGGAGAACTGCAGGCCGCGGAACCAGCTGGAGAGTGGGACAGACCTTTGCCCAGCGGTCCTCTCCTCCTTATCTGTAAGGAATCAGGGCTTCTCTTTAAGTTTCAAGACAGAACTGCTTCCCAGCAGGCTCAAAAGAAACGGCTCTGCGGGGCTCAGCAAATTGATTTCATCTTTAGCCAGAACTTCAAGACCTATAATTTCATCTGCTTGCCCTTTGCGTGAGGACATTTGCTTCTTAGATTCTATCAGCGTAGCCCAGAGGCAGCTCAGCCAGTGTGCATTCCCTAGCGAGGTGGTTCTGAGTCCTTCCAGAGCCAGGACCGTGAACCTTCTTGGACCCCGAGCCCAAGGTCAGAGCGGAACAGGACCCTGTGCAGAGCCAGCAGCGGAGGGTCAGGGAGCTGGGTGGGTCAAGCCCGCTGATGGGCTCCACTGTTTGCGCTCAGCACAACCGTCCACGGTTTATGGCAACATTGGAACATTGTGCTGAAGGTCTCAAATAAGAAAAGAGAAACAAAGAATCATGATCTTAAAAAAGAACTGGGCAGACAAGAGTAGCCAAACACACAGAGTTGTTCTAGCCATGGCTGGAGGAGGGGGAGGACAGGAATCCTGGGTGTGCCCTGCCTTGTGGAAAGCGAAGCCCCTCTGGCACCTTGCTGACCCCGACGGGACCGTATTACTTACCAGATGTGGACACAGTGCCTTTGCTTTTACTTACTTGCCACAGCATAATGATCACCTCCAGAGAGCATGCTGAATTCCAAGGTGCTTTCCCGAACCACATCAGGAGACGCTGCTGGGAGGTACTTAGGAGGTGCCTGGGTTTCCTCATTAACCAGTCTTAATCGTTGGCAGGAAGTTGCTCTTTCTGGATCTCTGGCTGGTCGTGCTCCCTTCTCTTTAGTGAAATCCAGCCACCCTGTGATAGACACACGCCTCTCCCCATCCATGTGGCATTCTAGGGAAAATAATCTGGGCTCTGAGCCAGCCTGAAGTGTGAGGCTGCACTTCAGATAAACGGCCCAGGAGTGTAAGAGCATCAGAAAGGAGGCTCCTGGCGCCTCTGCTGCCCCAGCCTGCAGCTTTCCCTCTGGGTGTCACCCGAGCTTGTCTCCTTTAAATGTCGGCTTTTATGTTTAAGGTGTGGCTGACTGACTGTCGCCTCTGTCCCCAGTTTCTGGCCCAGCTGAAGCTCATGGACTACAGCCTGCTGGTGGGAATTCATGATGTGGAGAGAGCTGAACAGGAGGAGGTGGAATGCGAGGAGAATGATGGGGAGGAGGAGGGTGAGAGCGATGGCACCCACCCGGTGGGGACACCCCCAGACAGCCCCGGGAATACACTGAACAGCTCACCACCCCTGGCTCCTGGGGAGTTCGATCCAAACATCGACGTCTATGGAATTAAGTGCCATGAAAGTAAGTTTTATTACTGTGGACTCTCTTTGCACGTGAGGTGGTTTGACTTTGGCCTTGTTATTTACCAGTATTCGTGACCCCAGTTACAAGGGAGCTGCCTGGCAGCACTCATTCTCCAGACCCCAAAGAAATGGATTTGGGGATAAGAGTATGTTAAAGGTAACCGCGATCTCAGTGCTGAAACATAAGTGATCGAACCTTTGAATTCTGCGATGTTGAGGGAATAGAACAAAACCACAGATTACTTTACACAACACATATACACAGCTACAACACACATGTACATATGCACATGTATACACGGGCATACAACACACATGTACATATGCACATACACATGTATACACAACTGTACAGACTTGTATATACACTGGCATACAACACACGTGCATATATACAACACATGTGCATAGACAACACGTACATATATGCACACAATACACGTGTGCATGTGCACGTACACCACACATGTACAGATGTACGCATGCATAGACAGATGACGTCAGAAATGCTTTAAAATATTAATGCATTTTTGCCTAGTTATCTTCTCTTTTATCTGAGTCAAAAGCATCCTGAATCTAAGCTTGGCGCACATACGGGCCCTGTGACCCTTAGGTTGTCATCTTGTCATCACCACAGCCCTGTCCCTCTCAGAGGTATGAGGCTGGGCCCCGTGTGTGGGGTGGGAATCTGATTTGCTGAGTCTGACTCCGCCATCCTCCCCATGGAGCACCCTGTAGTCCTCTTCCCTGGAGTCAGTTAAACCTTCATCCGCAGTATCCAGGTGATTGGGCCTTCGAGGTATTTAAGTATTATATCCTACCTGAGCAGCATCCATGACAAAACCAAAATATTTTAGTGATAGGATAGAAACAGCCTCTTGTTTTTTGAATAATAAAAAGTATGGCTCATCAGTTGTTTTTTAATCCCAAATGGCTTATCAGCCAAGGGATTGAGTTCTGCTTTTTTCCGCTTTGCTCACCAAAATGTTTTCTTCAACACAGAAAATTAGATACAGTCCAATGTACTTTTCTTACTGTTCATATTTTTGGAAATGGATAGAAAATAGACATTGGAGGGATATATGCCTTTATCCAGTTCTCCAGTTGATACTGTCCCCAGTGAGAATTATGAACAGTACATCAAATGGTAGAAAAGGATTAATGAGCATAATTCTACATGTTTTATAGGGTATGTGGAGGTTTTGTTTGTTTTTCAGATGCAGCCTTGCCCTGTCACCAGGCTGGAGTACAGTGGCGCAATCTTGGCTCACTGCAGCTCCTGCCTCCTGGGTTCAAGTGATTCTTGTGCCTCAGCCTCCCGAATAGCTGGGATTACAGGCACGCACCACCACACCCAGCTGATTTTTTTTATTTTTAGTAGAAATGGGGTTTCACCATGTTGGCCAGGATGGTCTCAGTCTCCTGACCTCGTGATCCACCCGCCTTGGCCTCCCAAAGTGCTGGGATTAC